GCCTGGCCTGCTGTGTTCCTCCAGCTCCACACCCTGTTATCCTAGCATCTGAGAGGATTTTCATTGTTGTATCCAAGTAGTGACTTGGCATGGGAGTGAAGTTGGTTCCAGCAATGGTATGATCAGTGTCAATGAGGCCAGTGTCAGTATTTGCTTGTGTTGATCTGTAGTTTCCTTAGCCACTAGTAGAAAGCTGTTTCTTGCCATGACATTGTAACCCTCGCAATATCCCAATGCTTGTTTTTCACCCTGTTTTCCTCATTTTGCAGAGTTCTCCAAAACAACCCATTAAAGCCAAAGACCCTAAAGCTGTAACCCACTCACTTTCCAAATCCCTTTGTCATTTCAGAGGAAATGTTTCACTTCTCTGAGAGTCTGAGGGACGAAAGAGAGGCAGATTTGTTATGTTGGAATCTCCCTGTCATGCCATGCCATAGTCCATTAAGCATGTACACTCATCTCATAATAGTCTTTCGCTGGACCATATTGCAATTTCACAACTTGCTTGCGTACTCAGTGGAGGGGGCCAGATGGCTCAGTTGGTTGGATGGCTGCTTTGCGATGCAGAGTAATGACAACAGCATGGGTTCAGTTCCCACAGCCACTGGCTGAGGTTACCATGAGAGGCAATGGCTTTTCCCCACGCTGGGGGATTTTAAGATTAGCGGGCATATTTTTAAGGTGAGAGGAGAAAGATTTAAAAAGGACACAAGGGGCAATTTCTTTTACACAGAGAGTGGTTCGTGTGTGGAATGAACTTCCAGAGGAAGTGGTGGATGCAGGTACAGTTACAATGTTTAGAAGCCATTTGGATAAGTAAATGAATAGGAAGGGTTTAGAGGGATATGGGCCAGGAGCAGGCAGGTGGGACTAGTTTAGTTTGGGATTATGGTCAGCATGGACTGGTTGGGCCGAAGGGCCTGTTTCTGTGCTGTATGACTCTATGACTTCCCTTCTCAACCTCTCCCCTCACCTGAAGCATGGTGACCCTCAGGTTAAATCACCACCAGTTGTCCCTCTAGTGGGAGAGTAACGCGATGGTTTGGTAAGACTATGGAATCTATAGGTGATTCTGGGTTGTTGGAAGAATGAATTGCCACATTTTACCTCCAGCAAAAACAGAAATTGTGGGAGAAACTCAGCCAGTCTGGCAGCATCTATGGAGAGAGAAAGCAGCATGGAAACAGACCCTTTGTTCCAACTTGTCCATACCGACCAAGTTTCCCAAACTAAACTAGTCCCACCTGCTTGCTTTTTGGCTCATACCCCTCCAAACCTTTCCTATTCATGTACCTGTCCAATGTTTTTTTAAATGTTGTAACTGTACCTTTTTATTTATTATTTTGTGGGATGTGGGTGTCACTGGTTACCAGCATTTATTGCCCTGCTTTGAGGAAGGGTCACTCGACCTGAAGAGTTAACTCCGATTCCTGTCCACAGATGCTGCCAGACCTGCTGAGCTTTTCCAGCAATTTCTGTTTTTGTCTCTGATTTACAGCATTCGCAGTTCTTTTGGTTTTTATTTCTTGCTCATCCCTAGTTGCCCCTTGAGCCTTCTTGAACTGCTGCGGACCACCTGCTATGGGTTGACCCACAATGCCAATAGGGAGGGTTCAGCGTCCCCTCTTCAGAAGACATTTTACCTGTTATCTGTGTCAGACTTTGAACCCTCTTTCCATTTTGTCACCAGAGTGAAAGCAAGAAGAAGGAGAAAAAGGATAAGGAGCGGGAGAATGCAAAGGAAAAGCATGCGCTGTTGAATTCGGGGAGCGTGGCTGACAAGATGATGAGGAAACGACAGTCTCTTCCTATTGTCAGGAGCAAAGAGTCTGTGACAAGAGAAGCCAGGTACACAGCACATTTCAAATAGGCCACTCAGCTCCTCAAGCCCTGCTCTTCGATATGATCACGGCTGATCAGTTTGTGTTCCGAATTTCACATTCCCCTGAATAACATTTGATTCCCTCATCTGACAAAACTCTATCCAGCTCTGACAATTCAAGATCCCTACTTCCACCATCTTCTGAGACAGAGTGTTCCAAAGTCATGTAATCCATTGAAAAATTTTTCTCCTTATCTCTGTCCTAAATGTTTAAACCGAGCCCCTTAGCTCTGACGGACCCACAAAAGGAAACATCCTTTCCATATCCACCTTGCAAAGGCCATTCAGTATCCTACACACTTCAATCAGGTCTCCCCTCAGTCTTTATAATCTCTAGTGGAAATATGTCAGAGAATCCCTACAGCGTGGAAAGAGGCCTTTCAGCCCATCAAGTCTGCATCAACCCTTCGAAGAGGAGCATCCCACCCAGGCCCAGCCCCACACCCATGTAATCCGAAATTTGACCATGATTAATTCACCTAGCCTGCACCTCCCTAATCAGTACGGATAGTTTCCCATGGTCAATCCACCTAACCTGCACATCTTTGGACTGTGGGAGTAAACTGTAGAACCTGGTGGAAACCTATGCAGACACGGGGAGAATGTGTAAACACCACACAGACAGTCACCCAAGGCAGGAATCGAACCTGGGTCCCTGGTGCTGTGAGGCAACAGTGCTAACCACTGAGCCACCAAGTCCGATCTGTCCAACCTATCCTCGAAGGACAACCCACTTATTCCCAATGTCAATTGAGTAAATCTTCTCTGAACCGTCTCCAATGCATTTACATGCTTCCTTTAATAAGGAAATCAAACTGTCCCAGTTATTGGGATGTGGTCTCACCAGTGCCCTACATAACTGAAGCCGAAAACCCTTACATTTTGTGTTCAAGGTCTCTCATATTATCGAATAACATCTCATTAGTCTCCTTGCTTAGGTGCTGTACCTTCATGCTAACATTTTGTAACTCCGTGCACTGGAACACCTAAATCCCTCTGCACCTCAGAATTCCACAATCTCATTTTCCCACATTAGACACTATCAGCCAGAATTCAGCTCACTCCCCCAACCTACCTTTATTTGTCTTCAAACTTCCCAAACGTAGCTGCCAAGTCTGCACTTTCCTCATCGAAGTCATTGATATAAATTTGTCAACTGCCTGAATCCCTCGATTCGATTTCATCTGAGCCCTTATTCTGTTATCCTGTATATAAATCAGCTAAACCCTCGACTGGACTCCAGCTTGTAATTCATTTTTAGGTATTGTTATTTTATATATAAATTACCCTAGCACCTTGATAAGATTCCAACCTCTAACTCGCTCCCAGGTATTCTTTATTCCATAGTGTTATCTGATTTGTAGCAGGTTATATAAGCATGGCCCAGTCTGGCCTCCTGATCTCTCTCCAGTATTGTGCGTTGTAATCACTGCTGAGATCCTGCAGGAGACACTGGGATAAACTCATTGACATACTGTCCGGTGCAGGCATCAGACTGGGTAATGGTTCCGTCTCCACCATCTCCTAAACAAAGTCCCTCCCCTCCCCAACTCTAATAATGATCAACCTCACCTTGTTAAAAATAAACTTTTTTCCATTTTGCATCTGGAATACAAGAAGTGAATGGCATGATGATATTGATGCTGCTACCACGTACTCAGCTCCCTCTGAGGCTTCCTTCTGTCACAATACTGTCTATATGGCAGCACTGTGGGGTGGATTTGAGTGGCACACACTGGGTAGTGTGACAAGTGAATTCACTCCTTCACCTGCCGTTTCATCCCTGAGTCCAGCCCAGAAAAGTAGACCGAGATTCTCAAGACACTGATGCTCAGTTGTGTTATGGACCTTTACGCCATCCTGTCTCGGATGTATATCATCATTCCAGCAATGTCAGGTCAAAACCTCAAAATCCATCTTCTGTTTCTTACCCTTTTTCTTTTGGCCATAATTTAATCTCCTCTACCTTCCTCTCACTCAAAGATCATCCCCTTTGTTCATTTTTGCCCTGTCCCCTCTTGTTCTCCCTCTCAAGTGGCTTCAGAGATGATACTTCTCTCATTGCTTTCCATTGATCTGGAATGTTGGGTGAGAATTCCTAGAGGATTCCAGAATCTCTCCTGCTTCTAACTACTTATGACTTCCCTCTGAGGAGCCAATCAGTGGCCAGAGGGTGAGGCTGTGAAGATGAGAGTTTAAAGTTTGAGGTGCTGGGGAATCCGGAGTTGGTGTAGATTAGCGAGTACAGAGTGTAACAACGCCCTCCTCCCAAGCCCCCCGTTTTGAAATGATTTGCCGTGTTGTCATTTGCAAACAGGTTGAAGAATCGGTCATTGCCCAGCTCGCCCAGACATCGGACGTTGGTTACCAGCAGTAGTCCTGCAGTCCCTCTGGTGCCCCCGACAACAGGCAGCAACACCGCAGTGAGGAAGTCAAAAGCCAGAGGCGAGAACCGAAAGGTGAAGGAAAACCGCCTGAAAGGGAAAGAGGAAAAGGACGAGGAGCCAAAGGAAGGTTCCAGACCTTCGTCAGCCAGCGGCCTAAAAACAAAGGAGATCCCTGTCGAGACTCCTGAGCCAGCTCATGGTAAATCAATCGGCTCCAATTGATGATTCCAATCATAAAGTTTTTATTGAAAAAAATATCATTGATAACTGGGTAAACGAACCATATACGATTCTGCAATATCTTCTATAACTAAAGACGTCTCGAAGTAATTTAAAGACAATGATGCACCACAATGTAGACCATACCATTACTTAAAGGAAACAAAGCTTCCTAGTTATGCATAGCAAGATCCCATAAAGAGCAGTGTGGTAATGACCAGGTGATTTGTGTGAACAGTGATGTGGTTTAAGGACACGTGTGAAAACACCATTTTGAACAGGGTTGTAGTATCCCAATCTGAAAGATAAGAAGGCCTTGATTTAGTGTTTCATCTGAAATTTAGCATCTCTGACTGCAGCACTCCTGTCATTAAAGACTGATACACATGTGTTGAATTTGGCAGTAAAAGTCTTCCAGAGATTCACAAGCGTTTTATTGTAAATCTCTAGATTATCGCAGACACCAGTTTTCAGCTTTCCCTTCTGGACCCTTTCCCTGTCCAGAACCCAACCCCCACCCCCATACTGGGGAAGAACCCACCATTTATGTTTGCGTGATTGAAACCAATCACAAAATTAACAAACTTGAAACACAGGCCATGAAAGGCAGTGTAACAATAACAAAAATCAAAAAGTGGGAGAAACAAGAGGGTACAAAATCAAAATAGTGTTGGTAAGAAATCAGTTTTTGGTATTTTCAGTCAACCTGTTATGACACATCTGTGCAGCAGGTGGGACTTGAACCTGGGCCTCCTGGCCCAGAGGTAGTGCCAAGAGCTTCCCCTTAAAACACATCGCAGCCTGTGATAGATATTTGGAATCAACATGTTTGGAAATGTTAAGAGAAGGTTCCCCTGGCTCAGAGGTAGTGACATTACCATTGCGTTACCTGCTCCATATCAATTCTGGAGCTGTTCCGGTTTATGCTAAAGGGGCCTACATTTCTAACGCTGAAAAGTACTGTGGGCAACACAGTGGCTCAGTGGTTAGCACTGCTGCCTCATTGCACCAGGGTCCCATGTTCAAATCCAGTCTAAAAAAAAATTTGGAGTTTACACACTCTCCCTCTGCCTGTTTGGGTTTCCTCCCACAGTCCAAACATGTGCAGGTTATGTGGATTGACCATGCTAAATTGCCCATAGTTTCCAAAGATGTGTAGGCTAGATGGATTAGCCACGGGAAATACAGTGTAACAGCGATAGGGTAGAGGGGTGGGTCTGGGTCGGATTTTCTTTGGAGGGTCAATGTGGATTGACCTGCTTCACACTAGGCATTCCATGATTCATGATTCTTCTAGATACTGCCCAGGAGCGGCAACTTGGACTCTAGTCCCTGAACCGTATTAGGAAACAGTCACAGGAATAGACTGTGTGTCCTCTCAACTTTGCTGTGCCATCCAATTTGATCATGACTGATTTTTTGCTTTGACTGCTCTTTCTGCCTGCTCCCTGTTACCCTTCATTCCCTGAGACATCAAAAATCTTGTCTGTCAGCCCAGAATATACTCAGTGATGGAGCAATCACAATGGTCTGGGGTACAGAATTCCAAAGATTCACCACTTTCTCTTATTGAGGAAATTTTCTCCTCATCTCAGTCCTTATTCGCTGATTGTGCCGTCGAATTCTAGATTCGCATAGCCTCACAAAAACGACTGACACTGTCACATCTTCAGGATCTTGTAAGTTTTAATGAGATCACGTCTTATTCTCTGAACTCCAGAGAGCATAGATCCAATTTACTCAGTCTCTCATCATAGGACAATCTTCCTATTCCAGTAATTGACCATGAAATCCTTTGCTATACAACTTCTAATGGAAATATATCCTTCTGTTATCCTTCCTTATACACGGACACCAAAAGGTGCACACAGCTACCGTTTTACTAAAGGTCCATACAATTGGAGCATTATTGCTGTATTCCAGTCCCCTTGCAACCGATAAGTAGCCATTTGCTTTCCTAATTGCTTGCCATAACTGTGTGCTAACTTTCAGCGTGCCTAGAATGAGCACGCCCAAATTCCTTTGCACATTAACCAATACAAGTTTCATACTTGTTACAAATATATCCTTCCTTGCTGTTCCTATGGACAAAATGAATAATTTCACACGTCTACACTTTAATGTCACTTTGTCACTCACTTACCCATCTATGCCTCTTTGCAGCCTCTTGGTGTCTTCCTCACATTCCTACCTGGCTTTGTACCATCAACAAACAAGAATATGTTGCTCCATCTCTTAGTCAAAGTCATTGTTACAGACTGTAAGAAGTGGCAGTGATTTTTGTGGCACCCCACTGATCTTGCTAACGTTGATCGCACCTAGTGCTCGCCCTGTGCAATGTGACCTGTATTCCTCTATCAAAGTCTGTTTGATCTGTACATCCTTTGTTAGAATGATCTGCCTGTACCGCTCGCAAACAATCAATCAAAGCCTGCCAACTTGGAAATGCCCTGTTTATCCTTACGGTCTGCTTCCTGACAGATACCAATAATCCATCTTAAGCTATAGTATCATCCCCAACTCTATCAGCCCGTATTTCATATATTTGCCTTTTATGTGGCAATTTATCAAATGTTTTTTGAAAGTACATTATTAAATCTAATGGTTCCCCTTTATCTGTCCTTCTAACTGTGTCCTCAAAAACTCTTATCGATGTATCAAACACAATTTCCTTTTTGTGAAACCACATTTGCTCTGTCTGAACATGCAATGATTTCCTAAGTGCTATGCTAAAACTTCCTTTGGAACAGACTCAAGCAGTTTTCCAACAACTGACTGGCCGGTAATTCACTGGTTTCTCTTTCCCTCCTTTCTTGAATAGTGATGTCACATTTGCTAACTTTCAATGCGCTGGAACTGTTCTAGAAACTAAGGAATTGTGGAAAATTGTAATCAGTGTATGCACTGTCTCCGCGGCTAGCTCCTTTACACCCCTAATGCAATAAGGTTCTTGGAAATCACCACCTTTTAGAACTTTTAAGACTTTCCAGTAATTTTTCCCTTGTATTAATTGAGATAATTGTTTAATGTCTCCGCCATTGCCTTATACCCCGCAATAATTAACATTGTTGTACTCTAAGAGGTCAAACATTTACTTTATCTACTCTTTTCCTTTTTATATACATGTAACTCTTGCAATCCACGTTTACACCCTGGCTAGTCTACTCTTTTTCTGCTTATCCCCTCTTTAATCAATCTTTTGGTCACCTTTGCTATTTGTGACTTGAACCCACAAACTTGTGCCTCAGTGATGGGAGTGATGCCACTGAGCCACACGTGTTAGCCAGTGCTGAATTGCTGTAGCAGCAGCTAACACCATTACAGAGAAAATACCACACCAGAGCAGGCCACTCAGCCCAGCCACTCCTTCTACCTTTCCCGCCTAAATCTGTTGTTGTAATCCTCTCTTCTCCCGTCCTTTCACTGACTGCTCTCTTTGCGATCTTGCCAAGAGAAATCAGTTTAATGAACTTTAAAGTCAGATTGCTTGCATGTGGCCCTCTGTGAGATGTGCCAGCAGGAGTGCAGGCACTTTGCCACCTGCCCGTTGCCAAGCATTGGAAATCGGAATGGGGCCAGGCTCCTGCAGCCCCCACCCAGACTCAAACAGCCACCACATTGTGCCAAGAAGGAACAAAGGAAATGCAACCCCACAAAGATACTCACCATCCTCACAAGCCCGGAGCTGGATCACCTCTGGACGCCACAGCATGATGACGGCACAGGAAGAAGCCAGACGAGCATCATTGCCAAGTGCCAATCTCCTGCATTCTCCTGCCACCTTTTACAGACTATTTCTATCCAGACAAGTTGGACGTGAGTTCCAATTGCTGTTGCGAATGGGCCCTTTAGGAAAGGTATCTCTTGGAAGTGTCACAAAGATTCAGGAGCGCTCCCCATCTCCGCACAATGGTAAAGGAATCTACCTGTTTTGTGGGATGAGTTCAACAACAACAAAAATAATACATTTCATGGTGTTAAAAGGGGTACTGAATCCATTAAAAACACATTGACAAGCCATTTTCCATTGGATCTATTTGTCCTGGGACGGTATCCCTTTAAAATGGCAAGCGTAGGCCAGATTTTAAGGAACTTGCTTTCGTTGCTGTGAATTTGACCCTATCATTGGTGAAGAGAGCATGCATGAGGCCTGTTGATTCAGTTTCACCAGAAAACCCTCAGTGAAAGTGCACAACTACTGTCTGTATTTGTCCAAACATTCTCCATTCCCAAGAGAGTAGCAGCCCTCAGCAGATAGGCAGCATTTAGTGAGTGTGGCGTGTAAGGGCAAAATAGAGGACAACTGGGTTCATTATGGTCCTGTTGGATACAGAGAGTCCTACATTTGCTTACAAAGTAGAGATAGTTGCAATTCAAGGGCATTTAGTTGGAAGTGGGCATCCCGATGATGTGTGGCACTGCTATTATTCATAATTTCACTGCGTACCTGTTCTGTGTTTTAGGTTCACCTGCTAAAGCAGTTGCAGGAACCACAGACCCTGAGGAAGCCATGAGAGTCCTCGCAGAGAAACGACGAATGGCAAGAGAACAGCGGGAGCGGGAGGAGCAGGAGAGAAAGGAACAGGAGGAGAAGATGAGGTGGGTTTAGGACTTAGTAAGAGTAGGCACCACACTGTGGGTTCATTCTCTGGGTTTGAGTTGTAGTAGGTGAACACGCTGCCCCTTCACCCTGTGGGTTTGGGGGCTCAGTGGG